TCACTTAAACAGAACCTGTCTGACAAAGTGAAGCAGGCTAAAATGTCCAAAACGCAACAGAACGACACAAAAATGGCAGAGAAATAAAGTCTATCTATCAGTTTTGAAAGGGTTACAAAGCTCAAACTCACTTGGGTTATGCAGCATGACAAGTTCACCACTGAATGGCTAAAAAAAATAAAATAAAATTAAGATTTTGGTGGGTCTAAGTCAAAAGCCGGACTCAAATCAGATTGAGATGGTGTGACCTTAAACAGGCTGTTCATGCTGAAAAACCCTTTAATGTGGCTGAATAAGAACAATCCTACAAAGAAGAGGGAGCCAAAATTCCTCCACTCTTATGAGAAAGACTCATTGCCATTTCTCAGAAACACTCATTACAATTTTTGGTGCCAAGGGCGGCACAACATGCTATGAGGTTTAGGGAGGATTTTCACATTTTCACATAGGGTTATGTAGGTTTGGATAGCGTTTCAAATGTGACAAGTGTGGATAAAACAATAATACTAGATACTAGTTCATTACTAGGTAATTTTGCTCTGATTGTCAGTACTTGTTTGCTGTATTACTGATTCATTTTGTACATAAAACATGTAATCTCATATCTCCTGAACATTTTTGTTCTGGTCTAGCGTTACTTAACATGAAAGGGATTTCCATAATACTTTCTTTTTATAAAGAGTAGAGTACATGTGCAGAGTAAAAATGAGCAGCTCAAAACAAAAAAATCCCCTCACTATGTATAAAGAGGCATTGAATTATTGTCATTTAAACTGCACGACAACCTCTGTTTAGGATTGCAACTCATCTGCCTTAACAAAGACCATAAAGCCTTTCAGGGAGAATGTGTGAAAACAGTAAACATTACAATGAGCTTCTGTTCTCTATGAGCGACTGATCAGTCACTCACCTCTTAAACTCTGCCCCACTTTGCACACAATCAACAGCTTGTGTTTCCGCTCATTATAAATTACTGCAAGTGGTGCCCGTACATGTTTGTGTCAGTCACCGGCAATAATAAAACAGATCTGTGTGTCTGAACTCAGCAGGACAGTATTTTAGAGTGTTGGTATTCCACAGTAGCTACATGCTAATAGCTCTTATTTCCTTTCCGGTGCACTGATTGATACAGGAATAAATGCATCTGCCACATGATCGAGTGACTGCCAGAATAATTAAAGGTTAGCTGAAGGTGGGCTCTCTCGAAACTGATGGTAGTTGTCTTCTCATTCTGCTTCAGTACCTACGCTGGCTCCTGCTGAGCGTCGACTCTTTCTATCATGTACTGTTAATGCCATTATGGCTCCAAAAGCTGAGTGTTCACTAAGAGGGAAAGTTGGGTCACATGTTTGAATAGCTCCTCTGACTCTCAAACTCATCGCCTCATATTCTCATTAATAATTAGCTGTTCCTGAGTCCATTGTAATGCTGTGCTTCCCCCGCTGCAAAGAAGGCTCTTACATTTTTAAAGAACTCAATATAACTTTTGACTTAATAGGAAATAAAAATGCAAATTTTCTGCTGAAGTATTATGGGTTTGCTTTGTGGATGCTTTCTAATAGAAGGTAAATAATGCATAAAAGAAAACAATTTGCATTTCATATATATATATTTTGGCTTTAGTTTGTAATAGTGCATCTGTACCTGTAGGTGTGCCCTTAACAATTCATCTCAGTAGAAAGAGACGTTGTTTGCATATAACCAATCAAAATGTTTTTTGAACCACATTTGTGTAATGCCGTGCTGTCACTCAGCTTTCATCAGCGCGCCTCCAACACCGGCAAAACACATTTATGAAAAACTGGGCTTCTTAAAAATGCATCTCGACGATCCTCAATCTCACAATTTAAACCTCTTGTGCAACATCAAACTGCCACAGGAATAAAAGTGTTTTAAAAACACATAGATCACTCTGTCAAAAGTGGTGCCTCACTCTGTCAGTTGGGAGCAAAACAGTTATAGTGTCTATAGTCAAAATACTCTTAATGTCTTGTAATGGCCCACTACAGGAAGGAAAGACCACATTTCTGAAAAATCCATTTAATAATTCAATTCAATTTTATTTATTTAGCACCAAATCACGACAGCAGCCCCCCCCCTCCCAGGCAATTTATAGTATAAGGTAAAGGCCCTACAATAATAAAGAGAAAATAGTGATTAATATTGAATCTTTTTGCCAACATGGTGGTTAGTACTGTTGCCTCACAGTAGAAGGAGTGTGGGCTGGTGTAGGTGATCCTAAATTAGCCCATAGGTGTGAATTTGAGTGCTAATGGTTGTCTTTCTCTCGCTCTCTCTGTGCTAGCCCTGCGGCAGACTGGTCACCTGTCCAGGGAGTGCCTTGCCTCTTGCAGCTGGGACAGGCTCCATTTCCCTTGCAACCCTGATCAACATAAGTAGTGAATGAACGGATAAATTACACTTAGCTGCTTCATTTTCAAGGTCCTGGAAGGCATGTCATGAGCACAGCCTGTGCTCTTCCTTTGACAGCAACCCAATATTTTTGTTGATTTGTGAAGTTTGGAGACTACGTGTAACTTCAGTAGAGTGTTGACTGTAATTCTAGTGGACGCGTAGTTAGATTAGATCAGATGCGCAGTGTTTAAAATCAGGGAATCTATATTTTAAATATGCAGTGATGTTTGCAGTCCATTCGTCGGTGTAAAAAATGTCGACCAGAGAGAGAAGCTTAGCTCCCAGTCCAAAAATAACAAACAACAACAAAACAGTTCTCTCTCTTTGTCACAGGTTTTGAAGCAACAAAAACACGTTTTTCTTTCGTTTAAATGTTATTAAAACACTCTACCTTTTTAATAGTAACATTGGGCCTAATGACAAAATGGTATCATCACATTTAACTGAGAGATGTGAGTGACAAAAACATTAACTTTATAAGACATAATTGGCCGAGATCACAAAGGGCAGCACAGACTGTCCCTTGTGGCCTCGGTTTGGGCAGCCAGGCTACAGGTGGACCTGCGCAGCTGGACCCTTTAATTTCCATAGCCTTTAACCTCTCACAGCTGAGGTCCAGCCAGGCCGAAATGAAGTGATTTGATAATCGCTCTCTGTGGTGCTCATTTGGGCCATGACAGGGTGTGTTCCCTTGAATTACAATGAACTGTACCTAACCAAAGCCCCTGTGGAATTGGCGGCCACTTAAATCAGTAAAAAGCTCAGAAAATATAATAAAGTACCAAGACAAATATCCAAAAAATGAAACATGCACATGGAGAAGGCAGATATTTAAATACTGCGTAACAGTTAATGATAATAAAATAGGGAGATACTATGGCTCCAGCAGAGGTATTGACATCTTTTTAAAAGAGTACAGAGAGCCAACACCCTTAAATAAGTATGGGAATAGATCATGTATTTGTCTCATCGCCAGCAGCTTCATCTTTTCCCTCTATCTATCCCTCTCATTAATGTTTGTGGTAAGAGCGGTCGAGCATGAGCCCGCCTGCTCTCCAATCTCCATATTAAAAATCAAAGAAAAGGTCAGCTTAACAACACCTAAACTGTTATTGACGGGTCAGGGGGATGGAGGAGGGGGAGAAAGGAGGGGAAGGTCAATAATGCAGATAAATACTATAGGGTTGTGAAATTAAAACTGTCAAAATATGCAGATTAGGAGGGAAAGAGTGAGATCATTGTTGAAGAAGAGTGGATGTGCACGTGGTTCTACTGTAGAAGGCACCTGAGGGTAGACAGTTATTGCTGTACTGAAGGAAAATGTCGAAATTTAGAAAATGCATTTGTATGTCTCTGTATCTGAGAGGAGAACCTATATTCATAGCCCCATAGAATGTATAAGGTAAGCAGGTTTAAAGATATTAAACCGACTGTGGGATCATAAGCCCACCATCATGCTCTACTTAATCACTCCCTGGTACAGTGAGGATATTGCTGACTCCCATAATCATTGTCATTTTATTTCATGCTTTAGACACCAGAGGTGGACCAGGAAAAAAAAGGAAGAAGAAGCTGGGAGAAAGGCAGTGAACTGGAGAATTTTGATGACTTAAAAACAAACATGTGCTCCCTCAAACCATTTTTCTTTGAAAAGGGGAGGAATGATGAGCAGATGGGTCTCTTTCACTGCAATTCACAGGAGTCCTCCTTGAGCAGTTCCATTAACCTTTTATCAATGTATGGAGCACAAAAGATCATTGCACAGGCACAGTGTCTTCTGGCCTTACTCAGATAGGCAGGGGGTGGTGGAATTTTAGTATTAATTCAACGACCATGCATCATTACTGATACTCATTCTGTGGTGTAATTGCTTTGTGGATCCCAACTGCAGTGATCTGTAAGAGAGAGACTCGTATTTTTTACATGTGTAAAATTCAGACGTCAGATTGCATTCCCTGATTTAACAGGCAGTCACACAGCGTTACATCAACATTTTATAGCAGAGAGTTTTGCTGACTAAAAACGCCATGGGTGGCGCGGAGGTGCGTTGGTTAGCTTTGACATCCCACATCAAGAAAGGGTTTAAATTTCCTAATCTCTGGGCCTTTTTTCTATGGAATTTGAGCTCCTCTGACTGTGTAGGTTTCCTGCAGGCTTCCTCCCACAGAACAAAGACATGCATGTTAGGTTAATTGTTATTTCTAAATTGGCTGTTGGTGTAAATGTGCTTAACTGTGTAGGATAAAGTTTTGCACGTGAAAAATGAAAATGTCCAAAATTTGAGCTTAACACAATCCCAGCAGTTGGGATGATAACAGCAAATTATCAGCAGCTGCATGGTAAAGTACTATGACTTTCCAATATCAAATTTCATAAAAGAGGCGGTATTTGAGTTTATTTAAAATACTTACATCTGTTTGGCAAGCCACTTTGCAACCCACCTCGACCCCAGCTCCTCACATTTGTGCTTTGATGCCTGCTCTGCGTGTGTGTGTGCGCTCCAGAACAAGAGCCATACAACTCTTCTTTTTTGTTTTTGATTGATCCATTTCAGTAAAATCTAACTTCATCTCTTTCTCCTACAGATCCATCCATGCGTCACAGGCAGAAGACAATGGTGACAGACATGTGCTACCCAACAGAAATATCCAGCCTGATGGACTTTGGCACACCAGACTGCTCGCTAGGCAAAGGTACTGCGGCACTCCAAAAGACAAGATGTTGCCTTGGTGACAGCAGGAAGTGAGCATGGTGAAGACAGACACAGAGCTGTCAGCTTGACTTGTGGGTGCAATGGGGGGTTAAAGCTGAGCAAAAGGCTGCACAGGCTAGAGGGGGGTGAGAACAGTCAGATAACAGCACTTGGTGCCTGACCATGAGGGCTTTACCATCCATTACAGCCTTTGATTTATCGCAGCTAAATAACGTGTTTTGTTTCCCAATGCAAGACACAGAAGTGCTGACACCAAATTGGGAGACTCGATTGATTCTCAGAGAAAAACATTTCACTCTGCAAACCGCTTTAATCTGAATGGAACTATATTGATGTTTATTGCGCTAGAGTTACAATGCAGCATGCAGTTATTGCAGGGCTGCGTGGCCACTTACCTCCTCCAATCACTGCTGTCAGTGTGCAGCTCAGGATAATAGCCTCTGTCAGTTTCTGAAGTGCAGCAGTCAAAGTGACCAGTGTGTATCCGTGGCACAAAAGGTATCGATCATGAGGTCAATTGATTGTATGTCCATTGTTGCTTGTGTCCGTTAGTGTTTCTCATTCTAATGACTACTATTGTCCGTGCTTGTTCTCAAACCAGAAAGTCTGCACTGTAATTGTAATTCAGGTCTTTTCTTCCAAGTCTAAAGCCTCAAAGCTGGAAGAACATGCTCGGTTGCTGTTCGACAAGTCTGATGTCATTTCCATCGACAATGAGCACCGGCTCTAGTGACCTCGGTCACTCATTCTCCTGCTTCTCCCACTGCCTATTGTTGTTTTGAGTTTTCTTCCTTTCCTCCTTTTTTTATACAGCCTGTACTCTCTGTAGGCAAGCTAATATTTTAATCCCACTTCATCCTAACTCTCTATCAGCACTCCCCAGTGCTGATAATGCAGACTGACAGGTCAACCGTTCTCTGCTGAGAGAAGGGAGAGCAATACAGCAGAGGAGAGTGGAGGGTAGAAAAAGAAGGCTTTTAGGATTTCTTCTTGCTTTAATGTTAGCAAAGCAAATGAATGGCATAGTGATACAGGGAGTTGAGCTGAAGAATAAGGGCACAGAGGAGTGGAAAATTTCAGACTGAAGAGGTGTCAGAATAAAAGCAATACTGTGAATAAAATTTGGTGTAGTTGCACCATGACTTTAGATTTATGAAGTGCTACATTTGACGAAAAAAAGTATCTATTTAAATAAAGACAAAGAAAACAGATATAGAAAGGTTCAAATATTAATCTAAGTGAATATAATTACATTATTATTAGATTGAATCATTCAAAAGTTCTAATAAACTAAATCAAGGATTTATGATGCAGGCCATACCCTAAACCCAAAGCATTTGCAGCATCTGCCTTTCTCTACAACGAGATAAATCTCCTTCTTTTTGATGTCTTACAATAACTGCCAATGAAGAGTTACTGTTGCAATCTTTACTCTGAGCTGTGATCGGACAGAGAAAATGAGCCTGGCAGTAATCCTTGAGGTGTCAGTGCGTGACTGACAGATCCATTGCCTCATGTGACAAGTATCTGGTTAGACCACATTTGATCTTTGGACGGAGTTAAAAAGCTAAGCATCAACCTCTGACAGCCGGGACAAATGGCGCAGCTGCTCTGAACTGCTGTCACATCTTTACATGCAGGACATTTAACTGAAGTTTCTGTGACATACAAACACTCCTACACACACAAATATATTATGCTTACACTTTAGTATGCTAGTTATGTTGCTCAGGTGCTCATAAACTTAAAAAAAGAAAAGAAAAGAAAGGTTTCTATCTAAGTGGGCCCTTTAGGCTGAATTAATTCAGGTACAGTCCTGTCTCTTTTCTTCAAATCACCTCACTGTACCTGCCTTTGGGTTTTGAGCCTGAAGAGTCTCGAGAAGAAAACTGGACCAGCCTTCACCTTATTTATTATTAATCTGTTCAAACACATCCCAGTTCCTATCTAACGTGGCACAGTCTGTCCTTACTCAGCATTGGGCAAAGACCAACCCCATCCCCAGAGGGTTAATGATAAGGTGCATTGCTCATACTAATGTTCTAATCTCACTGTGAAGAGGTAAGGCGGTTTAGTTTGAAGTAATTCGCCACTGTTGTGGTCCTTTTTCTCCTCTTTAAAGCGCTTTATACTGAAGTTTATTTGGCTGTGTTTGGAGGGGGATTTGTTTTCCTTTCTATGGCCAAAACACACATTCGCATCCAGGAAGTGAGCACTGTACACTCATGTAGAGGCCCACAGAGAGTGCATAGCTTTCACAGAGGGGTGTATCCTCTTGCGTTCAGCTGGTGGAGTGTAAAAGCACACGCTTCACAGTGTTCTCGGCCATCAGGTGGGGTGAGAACGCCACTGACTCACCTGGCTCATCACCTGAGGGCCTTGGTGCAGTTTGTATTCCCCGCCCCCTCCACCCTCCCACACGTGTGTAGGAGGCGGGACGGAGGGGGGGAATGAAAAGCGGTAGTGGGCGTGGGTGAATGTTGTCCTAGTTGCCCGTGGACACCTCGTTACGCAGGTACACAGAGAAAGAGGCTCGTTTGGTAAGAAAGGGGGCAGGAAAGGTAGCGAGTTTCTCTCAGGGGATGAGTTCCTGGTAACCTGTTTGGGTGGAGCCACAGAAAGCAGAGCTGGGAGCGGCCGGACCGGCAGCGCAGTGTGCGTGTGTGTGTTTGTATGTGAGGTTTGAATGGTCTGTGTGTGCACTGGCCGGGACGCATAGGTGTGCGTTTAATTATTATTTTTTTAATCTGCTATGAGAGCTCACACCGAGGCTGACAGTGGAGCCGAGCATAGCCTGTGCCGAGAAGGACATGAGGTCCGAGAAAGAGGAGGGGAAGGCCGGTGAGTGATCAATAGAAAATAGACGGTGAAAAAAGACTGTGTGTGTGTGTGTGTGTGTGTGTGTGTGTGTGTGTGAGGGAGAGAGGGAGAGAGAGGGTGAGTGAGTGGGTTTACTGTTCGTGTCCTAATGCGTGTGCTTGCCTGGACTGATTACATAATAGGAATATAAAAGTTACAACAAAGCTGATTAATTTCTGAAATTTCACGTTTGAGACTGAAATGATTTGTGATGCAGTGTAACACGCGCTGCTGTAGGACACGCTACAATTGACTCAGGCGTTTTTATTTGGTACATGCCTGATTTAACTTAGGCGCCTACTTATTGTCCCGATGTAAAGCGTGGACTTTGTACATTTATTTGACAGGTAGACTATAGATTTATTCAAAACAATATCATTAGTTTATAAAAAAAAAAGACATCTCCACTGCGCCTCGGATTGCTTTAATGCTCGATTAATTGGCCCCTTTATTCATGATCGATCATTATAATATTTGCTAGGTTAATCCTAATTGTTTTCTAGAACAAACAGAAAGCTAGTGAATTCAGTGTAGCAGAATACACATTTGAATGTGCAGAAAAAAATGGTTTTTTTAAGTAGTTAAAATTAAAAGTTAGAGTAAACAGTTAATCAGCTTAGTTAGGTTTTGACAATCAGATCATAAATCAATTGACTGATTTCACCTGCTCTAATATTAAGTAATCGAACCAAGCTTCTCTTCTTGCCAGCTGTGATATTGAAGTGGTTCTCATGGCAAAATATTACAAATATTTTTGATATATTAATTATATGCCATGAAATGCTGTTAGAATTACTGAAGTCACATTGTTATAAAACTGATGTTTTTCCCCCAATACTGTGTTATTATAAGTCTTACTTTTTGATCTGACTGTGGTTCATTTTTTTAATACTCATGACCACATGCCTTTTCCCTCCACTATAAAAGCTGATTAATTTAAATCTATTCCATATCCCAGGATTATTTATTTTACTTAAGTAAAAGTGACCTACATACTGTATGACACGTTTATATGGATGATCTTTTAATCTTTTACATTGTGCATGAACTGTGATGTTTCATCAAATTCATGTTCGGTATAAAGGAGTTTAGTAGCTCAGCAGACATAATGAAGCTGGCCTATAATCTAAGAGCTACGTTGGCTGTTGTGTTTGGATTCATTTAGGAAGCAGACGCACTGTATTATCCAGAAAACTGAAGAATTAAGATGCGTTATGTTTGATGGAAAATGAGAAGATCTTCTGCTATGGAGAATCTTTTCCTAGATGCCAGGAAAAGGTTTCTTTGATGCTGCTGTGGGTGTGTGTCTTTGTCTGTCTACACATTCAGATGGACTTGTTGTGGTTGTTTATGAATCAATAGAGATGAGTTTCATCCCACAGTGTGTTGCATGACTCGTACAGGAGCTCATGTTTGCTGAAGCCTGAGGTCACCGCTCAGAAATTTGAAAGACAATGAGTTTGACCGACTGCACTGCAACGCACAGATTGTTCTTTTGCTGTTGCCGTCCCACTCACTGCGCTGTTGTGAAGTTATTCACCGAGGCCGTTACACACAGCGTGTGGCACATCTTTACATATAAAGTCAAGTTTGTTTGTTTTGTTTTCTGATTTCTTCGATCCTGTTTCTGTTTGATCTCCCTGTGAGCTGTAACTACCCTGAGCTAATCACAGGCCGTTATTGCTTTCAGCATCTCAACAAGTGCAACAGTTAACGAGTACAGAACGGGTAGTTTTTGCAGTGTTTCACATGATTTAAACTTGAGTAAGGCTTTTAACGTTACACACATAAGCTGCAGCCCAGCAGGCGCCACCTGCAGTTTGTGAGATTATTCAGGCATGCTCCAGGACATGAGGGACACTGTGTATCAAAACACGTGGATTTCCAGTTCTGCACAGACTAGATCCTGTTGTTCCTAGCAGATGTTAAGGCTTGTCTGCAGATTCAAACTGAGGGTTGTTCGCCATTTTCTTCTTCAGCGATTGACATCATGAACCCAACCTCAGACTCATTTTCAGTATTTTCTTTTCTTCTTCAGGATTCATAGTTTGTTGATATGCACAAGTCCATTTATGATTGGGACTTAAGTGAGTTGACAAAGTATTTGATGGCTTCTGGTTG